CTGGAACAAAAACCAAGACTTCCATCCTGCTGCAAGGGCCCACAGCTATCAACATCCCTGCCTCACTGCTTCAGCATTCACTATGCATGTGCATGTTCCTTCTCATCCAGGGCCATGTCACAGCAGCACAGCTGGGCCTGGCATTCCTTATCAGCAGAGGTTCTCTCAATCTTCCCCCATTTAGACATCAAGTTCCCTATACAGTCCAGGAGTGAAGATTTCTGTGACTGGGCTGAGGGTACCTCTCAACCAAGCTAGCTCTAGGGCTCACCACTTGCTGTTACAGTGGAACTAGCCTTTAGGTGTTTAGACTTCACAGGGACCAAACCTCAGTCCTTGAATTTTTCTTCATATCTTTTCTGGTTGACCCAGGTGGACCATTGTTCTACCCCAGCTCTCATTTTTTTAACCAGTCTAAGTCCACCCTGAGGTGCTATTTTGCCTTGTTTTTTGGGGAAATCTAGAGAGCTCGGCATTTTCTGACATACTCTGCCATCTTCCCAGAATCCTATCCAAAGGTGTAGGGAATTTAGGTAAACTTATATGAACTGAGTCATTTGCAAATTGAAAAATGGTCATAGAATGTGAATAAGCAGTTTTTTTCATTTGCAATATCAGAATTTATTGAAGTATTTTTGTTTTTATTAATTTATTTTGATTTATCAACAATCCCTTCCATATGCTTCTGAGTTTAAAATTTTTCTCCTCCTTCCTCCCCACCAGCCTCCCCAAGACAGCATACAATCTGATATAGGCTATACATATACATTCCTATTAAACATATTTTCACATTAGTCATGTTGTAAGTAAGAATTAGAACCAATAGGAGGAAACACCAGAAAAAGGAAACAAAACTCAACAGCAGAAAAAAGAATAGCAAATAGTATACTTAAATCTGCATTAAAACTCCATAGTTCTTTCTTTGGATGTGGATAGAATTTTCCATCATGAAGCCTTTGGAGATGTCTTAGATCCTTGTATTGCTGGGAAGGGTTAAGTTTATCAATATTAGTCATCACACAAGGTGGCTGTTATTGTGTACTGTGTTCTCTTGGTTCTGCTCATTTCACTCAACATCAGACTGTACAAGTCTTTCCAGGTTTTTCTGAAGTCAGCCTGTTCATCATTTCTTATAGCACAATAGTATTCCATTACATTCATATACTACAACTTGGTCAGCCATTCCCCAATTGATGGGTATCCTCTCAATTTCCAATTCTTTGCCACCACAAAAAGAGTTGCTATAAATATTTTTGTACATGTGGGTCCTTTTCCCTTTTGCACAATCTCTTTGGGATATAGCCCTAAAAGTGCTATTGCTGGGTCAAAGGATATGCACATTTTTATAACCCTTTGGGCATAGTTCCAAATTGCTCTCCAAAATGGTTGGATCATTTCACAACTCCACCAACAATGCATTAGAGTTCCAATTTTCCCACATCTTCTCCAACATTTATCATTTTCCTGTTCTGTCATGTTGGCCAATCTGATAGGTGTGATGTGGTACCTCAGAGTTGTTTTGATTTGCCTTTCTCTAATCAATAGTGATTTAGAGAATTTTTTCATATGACTATAGATGGCTTTAATTTCTTCATCTGAGCACTGTCATATCCTTTGACCATTTATCAATTGGGGAATGGCTTGTATTCTTATAAATTTGATTTAATTCTCTGTATATTTTAGAAATGAGGCCCTTATTAGAGAGACTGGTTGTAAAAATTCTTTCCCAATTTTCTACCTTCCTTCTAATCTTAGTTGCATTGGCTTTGTTTGTGCAAAAACTTTTCAATTTAATGTAATCAAAGTTATCCATTTTGCTTTTCATAATGTTCTCTATCTCCTGTTTGGTCATGAATTCTTCTGTTTTCCATAAATCTGATCGGTAAACTATTCCTTGCTCTCCCAGTTTGCTTGCAGTATCAGACTTTGTATCTAAATCACGAACCCATTTTGAATTTATTTTGGTATATGATGTGAGATTTTGGTCTATGCCATACTCTTTTCCAGTTTTCCCAGCAGTTTTTTTTCAAAGAGTGGGTTCTTATCCCAGAAGCTGGGATCTTTGGGTTTATCAAACAGTAGATTACTATAGTCATTGAGTACTGTGTCTTGCATACTTAACCTATTCCACTGATCCACCAGTCTATTTCTTAACCAGTACCAAGCAGTTTTGATGATTGCTGCTTTATAATACAATTTAAGATCTGGAATGGGTAGGCTACCTTCCCCCGCATTTCTTTTCATTAATTCCCTTGATGTGAATAAGCAGTTTTTAGAGGAATTAATCCATGCTACAAGTAGTCATATGGAAAATGCTCTAATAATTATATAATTATTATATGTTATATATAATAGTAATGTTATATTAATAATATATTATATACTATATAATATTATATATAATAAGTAATAAGTCACCAATAATTAGGGAAATACAAATTAAAACAAATCTCAGGGTTTTTTAAAATTCATTAGATAAGCTATGTTGACAAAAGGGGGAATGAGAAATACTGGAGGAACTGTGGGAAAACAGCTACTTTAATGCACTATTGATAGAGCAGTGATCTGCTCTAACCATTCTATAAAGGGATTTGGAAGTATGAACAAGAAGCTATTAATCTCACCACTCACTTATAATTCATCAATACTGGTTCTAGGTTTATAATTCAAAGAAATTAAAGAGTGAGCAAAATGATTCTTATGTATAAAAATATTTACAGCATCTCTATTTGTTATAGCAAATAATTGGAAACTGAGAGGATATCTATCAATTGGGAAGTGGCTGAACAAGTTTTAGTATATCAATATGGTAGACCAAATACTGTGTTGTAAGAGAAGATGCAGGACATGTTTGCAGAAATACCTGTAAACTCTTGTTTGAACTGATTCAGAGTGGAATAAGCAGAATCAGGAAAATAATTTATACAATCATAATATTGTAAAAATAGTCAACTTTAAATTTTATGGTACGCTGTTAAGCACTGTGGGCAATTACATCCAAAGGACTCATGATGAAATATGCTTTCCAGCTTTAGGGCAGAGAGTTGATATGCTCAGGGTGCAGATTGAATCATACTTTTTTTTACTTTCTTTTCCATTTTTGGAATATGGATATGACTAATGTGGAAATTCATTTTGCATCAATACATACATAAGTACATACATATATATGTACATATATATGTGTGTATATATATATATATATATATATATATGTATATGTCAGTTACACTGTCCTCCACCATAGTCATATCCAATATGAAATACTGTGCCAGCCATGGCCAGCATATTTGAGAAATGATGCTTTAACAAAAGGAAAATATCTAAAGAAGGGCAGCCAAAGTTGGCAGGGAGCTTTATTCTACACCATCTGAAGATCAACTGAAGGAAGTGAGTATGCTTTGCTTGGGGCAGAGACAGTTTATAAAGTTGTGCTAGTTGTCTTCTAATGCTTTGACATTGAAGGGGGTTTAGATTTGATTTACATGGCAGCAGGGAACAGAAATAGGACCAACTATGGAAATTACAGAGAGGTAGATGCTGGCTCGATGGGAGTGGAAAATTCCTGAGGATTAGAAATACCCAGAATTGGAATTGGGTTGCGTTAGGAAGTAGAAGGCTTGCCTTCTTTAGAGGTCTTCAGAGAAAGGCTAGGTGATTCAATAGATAGAATGCCAGCCTTGGACACTTACTAGCTGTGTGACCCTGGGTAAGTCACTTCACCCTGTTTACCTTAATTCCTCATCTGTAAAATTAGTAGGAGAAGGAAATTGCAAGCCACACTAGTATCTTTCCCAAGAAAGTCTTATATGGAGTCTCAAAGGGTCAGACACAACTGAAATGACTCAACAACTAACAAGAAAAAGAATAGATGAGCATTGCTTGGCCTGTTGCAGACAAGATATTTGTTCGTAGTAAGGTGGCCTTTCAGGTCCCTTTCAACTTTGAAATCATATAATTATGTGATTTAGGAAAGAGGATGAACAGATTTTGTTTTCCTATCAGTAGTTGGAACCTAGCAGTTAATTAGTGCCTGAGGCTTCTTAATTGCTTTGGGATGATGTCTCTAATCCTAGTCAGCATCTGGGGTTTGGTCACATTGTGAAGCTTCTATAGAGACTTTCATACAGGTGTGTTTCTCTGTGGAAGACTAGAGGACATACGGTGGGCCTTTCTTCCTCCTCCCAACACTTCAGGGTTTGCATGACTATACAGCCTCATTAGCAGAGGGCAATCTTGGTAATTTATATAGCATTTAAAGTTTGCAAAGCACTTTGTAGATGTTAATTCTTTTGAGTTTCATAAGAAATCTGTCAGGAACATATAATAAATGTTATTTTTCTCATTTCTCAGATGATAAAGTTAAGTCTCAAAGATGATACATGCAGAAGTTGAAGAGATATTTGTTTTCTCTCTCTCTCATTATTGATTTGAAATATTAGAGCCTCTGATGTAAAGCAAAATTTCCATGATCATAGAGACCTTAGGTGTCAGACCTTGCATTCAAACTTATGCTAATGAATCTGAGTTCACTTCTTTCATGGTTTTATGATGCATGACCTTCCTATGCTCATACAGTTATTAATTGTCACAGGCAGAATTTTCATCTTTGCATCCCAAAGACTAAGTGTAGTGCCTGGCACATACAGGCACTTAATAGCAGACTTGTTGACTGCTTTTTGTACTTTAGACCTCCACAAAACTTTAACTCCACTCTGTTTTTGTCAGCACTATTTCTGATAAGAATCAAAGATGTTTGTATCATTACTATTAGGTATTTAAAATGGCTTAGGTTAATTATTGTTTTCTGAACTTAATTGAACTTTTTTTCCAGCAATACGTCAGTAAAGGTAAATTCTGAGAATTTTCAGATGAAAATAAGAACATAAAACTTCCCAGCTGGATTGTAGTCTCATTGGCTGTCTCTTTAACTCCACCCCTTGTTTTCTGGCTATTATATAGCTTTCAGAATTTTTCAGGGAATTACAACAGCACTTGAAGTTGAGGTATTAAGAACTAAGGTGCAAGCAGAGACGAGGAAAAGACACAGAAATAAAAGGCTGATTGGAGAGCACAACAATGAACATCATCCCAAGCTTAAGTGCTGGAACCTGGGCACTACTTGTTCTCTTCCTGACTCTCTTGTTTCTGTAAGTGAGAATCTCCTTTTTTCCCACTACAATTTATCAAGGGATTAGGCAGCTCCTTTGTGAGTATCACCGGACATTTCACAATGATTGGTTTCTAATTGCTTCTACTCTTTGTATAAGGTAGATAAGGATATAGTTGTTATTTAGTATTTCTGTAACTGAAAATACTGACTTTCTTTGTTATATAAATGAGTTGACATAGTTTGCTAGAAAAAGTACCAAAGGAAAGCAGACTCCTTGATCAAAGCCTGCATTGTCTTTTTACCAAAAGAATAGACTTTTAGGATATTCGTTTGGTATTAGTCAAGTAATTTAAAAGCCAAGAAAATTCCTTTAAAAAACCCAAGTTCATATCAATTGTCTGTTTTTATTCTTTTCCAATTTTACTCCCTGTTATTTTACTTTTCACGGTTTAAAAGGTATTTCCTTATGTCCAATTTTTTTTTGCAGTTTAATTGCTGATGTTCATCTTGACAAAAACACTAGTCTTTTCTACCATCCAGTTTCTAGGGATTACATATGACACATTCTGCATTCTCATTTTCAAAGGCTTTGGAATGGGGCATCGCCAAAAGTTGAGTGCTGTTGTTCTGCTCCCTCTTTCTCTTTTGACTAATCACTGTGCTAGAAAGACAAGAAACTAGAAAACTGGTCAATGTCACGGATACATGTTAGAGATGGAAGCTTTTCTGTACAAACAATATGAGTTGCTCAATTATGCCTAGTGCTGTAGTACCCACAAACTGATGAGGTAGCAGTAGAACTGGTAGAGACCCAACCTTATCAGGTTGATGAGCTTGAGTAAGCTGCAGCATATAATGAAGGAAGAAAGAAAGGAACTCAGGAGGGAAGGGATTTAGAAAGGAAATATGAAAGTAAGAAAGATTTTTCTAACCATGTACTATATTCCAGGAACTGTCATACACACCTTAACAATATACGCATTTGATCCTCACAACAATCCTGTAAGATAGGTACCATTATTGTTCCCATTTTGCAATTGAGAAAACTAAGGCAAACAGAGGTTAGGTAACTTGCCCAGGATCACATATCTACTTAGTGTTGAAAGCTGCATTTGAACTAAGGGTTTCCTCTCTCTAGTTCCAGTGTTCCATCCATCAGGCCACTTAGCTCTGAAGAAATAGTGGTACAAGGATATCATGAAAGATGTCTCTACCCCTGCTTCCTACCACAATTACTAATTTCTATATGACGCTGAATAAATCCTGTTTTAATTAGCTGTGAACATGTTAGAGATATTAAAGAGATAGTATCCAATTGGAAGGGATGGTCAATAATGACAAATGGTATAGCGAGGTAAAGAACTTTGAAAATTGAGAAAAGGTCATTGAATTTAATTTCACAATCAAGAGATTGTTGTTGCCATTGAAAGAAGCAATTTCAGCTGAAAAATGACATCATAAGCGAAAATGCAAGTCAAGTTAGGCAAGCCTAGAATAGATCACAGATTCAGCCTCCAGCCCAGGGCAGAGCTTGGAGAGGGAGCCTGAAATCAGCACCCAAAACTCTGACGGAGGTCTGCAATACACGGACACCCAGAGATGATCAAACCCAGGCTAGCAACTTAGGGCTTGGGACAACCTCCTTACCAGGAATTCAGTGCCCAAAGCCCCCAGGTGAATATACTGTGGATTTAATACCCCACCCAAGAAAGCAGTATGAGAAACTCCAGAGGGGCTATAATGACATACTCAACTCCAAAAGTTTTCCAAGCTAGATCTGCAATACCAGGTTGCCCAGAACAAATGATTGAAGGAATGAGTAAACAAATAAAAAACATAAGAATTACTAAAAGACAAAGGTTATACAATCAGTAAACCAAGAGAATATCTATCTATCTATCTATCCATCCATCCATCAACAATTCCTTGAAGAAAACTACAGCTTGCCAACAAAACCAATTAGAATCCCTAAAAGAAACGATGCAAAAGCTAAACAACTTAAATTAAAATGATATTATAAATTAATTGAGCCTGATAGAGAAAAAAACTGGAGAAGAAATGAGAGGTGTGGAGGACACTCTTGGAAATGGTATTAATTGTTTGTCATAAAGGGAACAAAATCTTACCCAAATTATGCCTCCTTGAAAATTAGAATGGACCAAACAGAAGATAATGATTCTATGAAACAAGAAGAAATATCAAAACAAAGCCAAAATTGAAAAACCAATGATGATATAAGGTCTCTCATATAAAAACTGACCTGGATAACAGATCAAGAAAAGATTGTTTAAGAATTAATGAACTACCTGAAAGTCAAGACCACAAAATAAAAATCAGAAAATCAGTGGAGAAAACTTCTCACATTTCATTCAACTTGAGGGCAAATTGAAAACATTTGCCACAGTTCTGAAAAGAGATGTCTAAATGAAAACCCCTAGGTATATCAGAACCAGTATCCAAAGGTTCCAAAGCAAACTATTGCAAATATTAAAGAAGAAAGAATTTAAGTTATGAATAGCCATATATAGGACCTTGTAAGATTTAGCAGCTTACATTAAATAGTACAGAATGTGGTGTTCCTCAAAACAAATGATATACACTAGGTACTAAAAATAACTTACTCAGTCAAACAGTTTAATTATACTGGAGTAGAAGGGCTTGATGGTGAAATAGAGAACTTCCAAGCATTCTTGAAGAAAAGACCAGATTAAAGTAGGAACTTTAAACTACAAACTTTAGTGTAAAGAGATATATAAAAAAGTGAACAATTGGAAAAGACTAAAGTCTTTCAGGGATAAAGTCTTTGCATTCCAATTGGGTGAGAGATAGAATGCAATATCTCATAAGAACCATAGTGTGAGATGAAGCCATAGAAGGGCCAAATAAGATTGAGGCCTTATAAGTGATTTTTGTAATATTTGATTATCTTTAAGGAGAAAGGAAAGGGAGGAGGGATACAGGAAAAAAGAAGAGGAATGGAGTGGACATATCTCGTAATTGTAGTAGAATTGAAAGTAGAAATTCAAGTAGAATTGAAGTAAAAATTCAAACAAATGAGGAAGAACAGGGGAAGAGTATGACTTGAATCTCACTTTCAACTGACTACAAAGCAAAGTGAGCAGAACCAGAAGAACAATTAATATATTTTTAAAATTATCAATTTTGAAAATCCTAAGAACTCTGACCCTCATAATGATTGCCTATGAGTGCAAAGGATTGATAATTTAGAATGCTGTTCATCTCCTGACAGAGGTGATGGACTAGCTATTCAGAGGAAGAAATTCATTTTTGGATATGGACAATGTGGGTATTTGTTTTGTATGACTGTTCATTTGTTATAGAAGTTTTGTTTTCCTTTTTCTTTTCACAGTGTGTGTGTGGGAGAATGAGGATGGAGGGAGGGTAAGCCAACGCTTGTTAATATAAAGTTATTATTTTTACCAAAAAAAAGTGAAGGTAGAGCCTAGAAGGATATTGAATGGTGTTAGTTTGGGAACTAGAGTTCAAGGTAAAGATGAAAAATAAGATGTAGAGAAAAAAGAAATTATATGATGTGGTCAGACAAAGCAACTTTAGAATCACTGATCATAAAAGTGGAATATCTGGGGTGACAATGAGATCAAGATTGTTATTATTCCAGTATGTGACTTATGGAAAATAAAGCAATGGGACATAGGGGTTGAGATTAAGGAATAGGGAGGCCAGGGTGTTTTAGGGACTAACTGAATATTGATCTCACCTGGCATAAGGGTAGGCTATATTGCAGAGGAAGAATGAGCCAACATGTGAAGCCGTTGAGAAAAGAGAGCTATAATCCAGTGTGTAACTACTTCCAGAATTGAATTGGGTGAGATATATCTGGAAAGAATGAAACTAGAAGGAGGAAAGGTTGCCAAGTGATGCAGAGAAAGGATCTAGGAGTGGTAATAAGGAGCAAGGAAGGAGTATACTGAGTCCTCCACCAGGACTAGTTTATCTGAGGACATAACCCAGGAGATAAAGGGAAATGTGTTGATAATAGAATGCAGATCCAGAGGACACAATGGAAGAGGTGGGCAGAGCTGTATTGCCACCTGACAGGGGTAGGACTATAATGTGTAGGGATAAGACAATGGGAAATAGAGGCAGGGGAAGTGGGTGAGTTTTGCTTAGTCATGTGGGAACTCGATCAAATGGAAGAGTAAGCAATAGGAGTATGCTAGTCATAAGATAACAGTATGCTCTCTTTCTAGTATCAAGGAAGGATATTAAGAATGATGTAAATAGGTCTTCTTGCACATAAGATCCTGACAGTAAGATGTGTGGTGTCTAAGTCTTTGGTACTGGGGTGTGTTGTTAAGTTGAGTGAAGATATTGAGAACTGTGATTCCAGTTTTTGGTGTTTTTCTTCTAAAGTAAAGTGGTCTGGTGTCTGAGGCACCAAAGCTGGCTTGGCTCATGAAGAAAACGCATCATGTCTGAGGCCCAAGTCCTGAGCTTTTTTGGTTGCATGTAGGGTGCATTTACCCTGAATGTCTAGCAACAGAGAATTGGTACTAGTCACAACACAATAGAGGGGGGGTTACATTCCAGCAGCAATGCTGACTATGGTTTACTCGAGGCTTGCCATACTTTACTACATCTTGTCTCAGGCCTTACTGAATCTCAGGTGGGACTTCAGGTAATCTCACTTGGGTTGTATAATACCTCAGGACATTTGTGGGAGCCATAAAGTATCTCTGGAAATGTGCCCTTGGCACTTGGATCTGAGTGAACTCTGCCTTACCTCAGAGCTACCTTTATAGCTCCTCCCCTTCTGATTACTGACAAGTGAACTGCATCATTTATGTCTTTGGTCATTGCTTGGCTCTAATGTCTTCTTATTTTTCCTTTACTTTGCAGATATGGGACCTGGACACACAAGCTCTTTAAGGACCTGGGAATTCCAGGACCAACACCTCTTCCTTTCTTTGGCACTGTTCTTTCTTATCGCAAAGTGAGTTCCTATGAGTTTTCTTTACTCTGTTTGCACCATGGAAGGAGCATTTGCTCTAGGCTCAGGAGACTTTGGTACAAATGCCAGCTTTGATACTTATTATGTATGTGACTTTGGGCAAATCAATTTTTCTCCTTAGGCCTCAGTTTCCTCATCTGTAAAATGAGAGGTCTAGGATTCCGATTCTTAAGTTATAATGCACTTGTTCATCAGTATTATAGGATGGAATGTGTAGTAATGTTCAGGCCCACTTTTCATTGGACAAAGGGCTTCGTTAACAAGTCTTAGACACTGAATGTTTTATGCTAAATTCTGCCTGAGTGGTTGTCAGTGTTATCAATTCTCTCTGGCAAATTTACCATTGATTCAAGCAGAATTTCCTTTTGAACCCGGTACTTTAGGCGATCTTGACTAGACCTGTAATTTAATTGGCACAAGAATTCCCAGGTGATGTAATAGCTATTACCACCTGACTTTTCCCACAACTTTTAGTCTTAGAGAGTTACCTACAGTATGAATTAATTGCCTTACCCAGGGCCACCCAACCAGCATGTGTGAAAGGCAGAACTTGAACCAGGAAATTCTTGGTTTTAAGAACAATTTTGAGAGATCTCTATGCCTTTCCACTGACTACCCATGAGCGTTTATCTCCAGATGTTGATGCATAGATAGGAGAGATTACATGTGAAGCTTTAGATCAGAAGATGTGTCATGTAATGGAAAGAACTAGAGTTCAAAGACCGGGGTCGATGGGTCACTGGCTCAGGTAGGGCAACCATTTACCTTTTGTGTCCTTCAATTTGAAGCACAGTATTTTCACTTTTTTTGTTTTTTTTATTTCACATAGCTTTTCCCTTTTGTTCTGATTCTTCTTTCAAAACATGATTAATGTGGAAATATGTTCATTATAATTGTATATGTATAACCTGTATCACATTGTTTGCTGTCTTAGGAAGGGGGTGGAAAGGATGGGGGGAGGGAGAAAAAATTGAAAATCAAAATCCTATAAAAGTGAATGTTGAAAACTATCTTTACATGTAATTGGAAAATAATATACTATTAAGAGGGAAAAATAATCTTTTGATGAACATTTATTAATCATTTACTTTGAGTGATACACTGTGCTAGACATTAAATTAAGGATTCTTAACATGGGAAATATGATTTTTTGAATAACTATTTTTAGAAAAATTGGTTTCTTTAATAATGCTATATGTTTTACGCACTTTATAACATCTTTTTGAGAAGTGGTCCATGGGCTTTTCTAGACCACTAAAAAGGTCTATGATGCTTGAACAGTTAAAAACCCCTGAACTAGGGGAAATAGAAAGATAAAAAATTGATGGCAGGTGACCTCAATGAATCTATTATCCAGGAGAGAATGACATATATTGGGATACTTGTAATTTAAATGAGAACATAGTGAGAGCATAAGTTTATAGAGTGTATCAATCATAGTTTTTATTAAGTTCCTACAATGTTCTAGGTACTGAGTGACAAATACAGTAAATAGAACAACCCCTACTTTAAACAGGCTTTCATAGTATAGGGAAAAGATATTAAAGTTACAATCATGAGACCAAGAATCCTAAAAAAATCTCTTTCTACTGGAGAGATCAGGAAAAGCTTCATGGCAATGACCACATATGAGCTGGGTCAGATGTCAACAAGTAGAGATGGGGGTGGTCAACCATATCCAGGCAAAGTAAAAAACATAACAACAATAGAAAAAAATATAATTATTTTATATTTACCATCCTAATATAAGGCATTTTAAAACATTTTTCATCATTAAGAATTCATGCCCAAATCTGATTTTAAAATGTTTTTTGCAGGGTATGGCAAATTTTGACATGACTTGTTTTAAAAAATATGGGAGAACCTGGGGGTGAGTATTCTAAGTAATCTTTCCATTATACCTACACATTTCAATGGTCAGTCACCCATAGCTACCCACTCAAACAATTACATTTGTGAAGATAGAGGTATTGAAGATCTGTTTAATGCCATGCAATTTTATTTTAGGCCCATAACATCATAACAGATGTACCTAGTATGATATTATTCTGAGTCATGGATTCTGTACATATCCCCTTATTTTATTTCAGTGCTATGATAATGTGAATGTTGAAGAAATAAAGAAACACTGTATAAAGTGCCTACCATGTAAAGGCCTGCTGACCAATGTAGATACAAAGACAGAACTAAAAAAGAGTTCCTGCCTTGAAGAACCTTCCGTTCTGTTGTACAATTCAATGTGTAAAAAGAATAATAATGAAAAAAGATGATCAGAGAAGTAGTAACAAATAGAGCTATGAGGGTAACCAATGTTTCTTTTAAAATAATTTTACTTCAAAAGACTATTCTCCCACTTTCTTTAAATCATTTCAATGTCTTTGACAAGAATACCCCAAATTGTGTTATGAAGATTTGCACATGATCAGAACGACTGAACAACATTTGATTATATTTTTATTTATTTTATTAAATATTTTCCAATTTCATTTTAGTCTGGTAGCAAAGAGTTTTAAAGATGCTTGTAGATCACCTATGATTTTGAAACCTCTGATCTACATGGTTATCTATTTTCATAACTTTATTGGTTATATTTAACTCCTTTTTCTCCCTCTTATCTCAGTTTCCTTCAGTTTCCTGGAATTTTCAATTTCATCTCTGTAACATCTCTCAAGTCAATTTAATATTCCTATTGCCACCACTACCAACACTAGTACAAATTGTTATTATCACTCATATAAAGTATTGTTGTGACCTCTTGACAGGATTCTTCCTGCCTCCACTCTCCCTTCTCCTTGGTCCATTTGAAAAATAATACTTACTGGCTGATGGAGTGAAATCAGTGACTCACCTGAGCTCTCCCCAGATCTCTCCAAATACCTCTAAAAAGTGACTTTGAACAAATTCTAGAGTAATAGAACCCACAAAGATACAGAGTGAGGCAGATTTCCAGCCCAAGACAACCTAGAAGGTTGACAGGAAAGGTCTATTGCACCTGCCTGAGAGAGGAGCGAGCATCTAGTGTACAGACCCAGCCTAAGCAAAGTAAAAAGACTTTGGGAGATGGAATCACCAGCAGCAGTGATGGTTTCCAGTCTCCTCAGCCCACAGACACCAGAGAAAACTTAGAAGGTCAAAGGGAGAAGTCTGTTGAGACTGGGTGAAAGAGAAGTGCAGTACAACACAGGGCTGCAGGGCATTCCAATACAGCCCCTACACCAGCAAACCAGGAATAGGCCTTGGGAGTGACTGAATCAGCAGCGGTAGTGGTGGCAGCAACAGAAGCAGCTGCTCCTGGAGCTATTAGCCCACAGACTGAATATTTGAAAGTCACCTATTTTGACTTTGGGGATCCAAGATGGCGGAGTAAGTAGTAGGTAGCTCTCACCCTCCTTTATTGACCTTGAAAAAAACAGAGAATATTGCCCCAGGAAAAATCCTAAAATAGTAGAGTCAGCATAAAGACTAGGTACAGCAGTCTTTTAGCTCATGAGGCTAGGGGGATTAACGGGAAAGGTGCCTCTTACTGTGACTAAAGGGAACCAACACAGGAAGGGAGGTGTCCCAGCAAGCCAGTGGCAAGCCCCACCACAGAAGACTAGTATCCAGGCCCTAGCCCCCAGCACAAGAAGCCTGGGACAGTACCCTCTGTGTCCCATAAGATATCAACTTTAAAAGCCAAAAAAAAAAGGCAAACAAAATGAACAAGAAGGAACATAGAAAAACAATGACCATAGAAAAGTATCTACGTGGTAGGGAAGATCAAAACACAAATTCAGGAGAGGATAACATTGTCAATATGCCCACATATGAAACCTCAGAGGGGAATAAGAACTGGTCTCAAACCCAAAAAACCTTCTTGGAAGAATTCAAGAAGGATTTTAAAAGTCAAATAAGGGAGCTAGTAGAAAAATTGAAGAGTTCTTTTAGCAAAATGGAATTTTGACAAAATGGAAGAAAAGTACACTGAAGAAAACTCCCTAAAAAGTAAAATGGGCCAAATGGAAAAGAAGGTACAAAAGTTAACTGAAGAAAACAATTCATTAAAAATTAGAATTGAACAACTGGAAACTAATGACTCTGTGAGATATCAAGAATCAGTAAAACAAAATAAAAAAAATGAAAAAATAGAAGAAAATGTAAAGTTTCTCATTGGAAAAACAACTGACCTGAAAAATGGATCCGGGAGAGATAACTTAAGAATTATTGGTCTACCTGAAAGCCATGATGAAAAAAAAAGAGCCTGGACATCATCTTTCAGGAAATCATCAAGGAAAACTGCCCTGAAGCCCTAGAACCATAGGGTAAAATAGTCATTGAAAGAATCCACAATCACCTCCTAAAAGAGATCCCAAATTGAAAACGCCAAGGAATATTGTAACCAAATTCCAGAATTATCAGGCCAAGGAGGAAAAAATTACTTATTTTTAAAAAGTACCTATTTATTTTTAATGTTCTTTTAAAATTTTTGGTTTCATAATAATCACCCTCTCTAGTCTCTACCTAACCCCTTCAGAAGGCAAATAATATATCAATTATACATGTGAAGCCATGAAAACATATTTCCCTATTAACCTATTTAAAAAAATTAAAATAATGAAAATGGAAAACAATAGCTTCATCAGTTCTCCCTCTGGTGAGGGTGGTATTTTTCATCATGAATTGGTTCTTTTTAATTTTCTTTGATCATCTGGTCCATTCTTAATATGATTATTAAAATAATCTTTCTTGTGCCTAAATGTGTTTATGTTCACAATTGTACATAAAAGTCCTCCCTGGCTCCATATTGCCTCCTAAGTAAAATGCAAAAACTACTGCCTTGTGTTTGAGGCTCTTCTAGCATGTTACCACCTTATCTTCTCAGGCTTATTTCCTCTTAGTCCCTTCTATGCACTTTGTTCTTCAGCCAAATTGAATGACTCTTTGGCTCCCAAACACATTTGCCAATCTTGTGCCACTATGACTGCTCAGGCTATTTGCTGTCATTGAAATGCCCTCCTCCCTTCCTTTTCCTACTGAGTGCCTGACCATTCTTTAAAGCTTCATTCAAATGTCACCTCTTCAATGAAGTTATTCCCTTTTCCCGTCACAACTCACAACAATAATAACAACAATAAAATCTACTCTTTAATATTTTCAAAGTACTTTATATATGTTATCTTATTAACCTCATAACAACCATCTAATGTTGATACCATACTTTTCCTCCTTTTTCTAGTGAGGAAATTGAGCCTGAGAGAGGTTACTGACTTGCATGAGGTCACAGAGCTAGGAAATGGCTGAGGCAGGATTCTAACTTAAGCATGCACCAAGTATTTCATAACATTGTCTGATGAATTTTATTTTAGATTCTTGGTTCACAACCACATCTCAAATTAGAGGTAGCATATAAGGCAGCAGTGAACTCATGGCCATCAATTTATAGTTTTTACTTGCTACCTCTGTTAACAACAGTGCAACCTGGTGACTGCTACAATTTGTTCCATTTGGTGGTATAGGTTTTTTGATGGCAGACAACCTGTGTTGGCCATCACGGACCCAGAGACTATCAAATCAGTGCTGGTAAAAGAGTGCTATTCTGTCTTCACCAATCGTCGGGTAAGTGACAGTGGAAGACTAATATGGACAACAATGGGAAAAGCATGCTAGCCATGTTGAGGATCACACAGTTTTTAGACTACCTATAAGCACTTACTTCACCATTGACATTCTTGCAGAAGACAGGGCAGGCAAGACAGCCTAGCTTAGGGCAATGCAGCTTGAGGTAGAGACAGAAGGCAGCTTTTGTTGGATGATTTGAAGCCCCAACAATATCATTTGGGCCCCAAAAACTTGGCGGTGTTGATGCCTCCCCAACAACTAGATTTGCCTATCATGCAGCCCTCAGGTCCATTTTTAAAGGGAAAGGTCACTGTGGAAAATGGGCCTGCTCTCTTCATCTCCACAGGCAATAAGTGTTTACCAGCTGCCTCCAAGGGATAGAAGGACAAGGACATAGTCTGGGAAGGTCCCCCCAAGCCTCCTTTTCTACTTTTGGCCAGGCATTCACAGTCATGATCTTGGGGTAAAAAATCCTGTGGAGGAGGTGCTGGCAATCTCCACCTGTTGTCAAACAATTATCTCACTTGTTATATGTCAGCCAGAATAACTGAAGCAATTGATGCCATGAAGAAGAGAAAAGGGGTGATGTGTAAGGCAGGTCAAATTACCACCATCACCACCACCACCACCACTTCCATCACTATTTCACGTCAGACACTATGGGAAATTTCCTAGGATATGGGACCAAGGGGCTCTGGGAATAGCAATATTTTTAGCCTAGTACAACCAGCCATCATCCTGGAAAGCAACTTATGTAGTGATGCAGCCTGGAAAGTGCTCCTGCAGGTACAACAATCACAGCTTTTAAGTATCCAGAAAAGAAAATTTTTGCCACCAAAGTCCATGGACTATAAAAAGTCATATAACAAACTATAGTTAGAATAAATTAGTTTTGTATACTGGAAAATGTAACAGATCTCTACTTCTGGTTCCACCATTTAATACAAGAATGCCCTTTCCTTTTACCTTTTTCTTCTAGAGATTTGGTCCAGCAGGGATTTTGGAGAGTGCTATCTCAATTGCTGAAGATGATCAGTGGAAGAGGATTCGAACAGTGTTATCTCCAACATTTACAAGTGGAAAACTCAAGGAGGTAAAGCAATGGATATTGGTCATATTCTAGAAAACTAAGTCTTGGGGAGAGTAAAATAAAAGTGCTAATGATTTTCTCCAGTTAATGCCTAATTAATAGGCCTACATGTTTGAACTTCCTATAAGGGAATATTTTCTATCCTAGTTTTTTGATGTAAAATGGAGAGAGCACTGTCTCTGAAGTCAGACAACTTGATCGCCAATCTCACCTCTGACGACTATTACCTGAATGACCCTTGACAAGTCACTTAACTATTCTGGTTGCAATTTGCTCATCTTTAAAATGAAGTAATTTGACTACGTGGCCTAGAAGGCCTGTTGTTACTATAGATGCATGATTCTTTACATTTTAAAGTAGAGAAATGAATTTATGAAATACCATTATGCCTCTTAACTTTGTTTTGGAACTAGATTTTCTATGTATAACTATTGTCATTTGTCATTTAGATGTTTCCCATCATTAACCAATATGGAGATGTGTTAGTGAAGAACATGCAGAAGGAAGCAGAGAAAAGCAAGCCTGTAACCCTGAAAGAGTAAGTATGGGGCAACAGCTCTAGGAATCTGAGAAGCTGCAGGACATTCTGTTTACTTAAGCTCCATTTCTGCCATCTTTCCTTAGAAACTGAAGCACCCACTTTTAGAGTTATTCTCTTGAATTTTTAATTAACAAAGTAAGTGTAAAGGACAATGTGGTAGGATCTTCCCCTCTGAGGCTAAACACCTTGAGAAAGCCATTGATAATTGATGATTCTACTTTTGGTCCTTTTTTCTTTGTCTTTTCATATTCTGAATTCTCTGTAGTCTGGCTTCCAAGTTTGTAATTCAACTAAGGCTTTTATAACTTTTTTAAAAAACTTCTCCAAAATTACTATTGATCTTTTTTTTTACATTTATGAAAACAACTAAAACTCTTTTCTTAACCTCTTGCTTTATATCTTCCTGAAACTGTATTAGAATTTGTGCCCAAGTTGTGTTTTCCTTTAAGGATTTGCTTGTAGATATTTTTGGAGCTATTTTCTTCTGTGTTTTGAGTGTCCCTGTCACCATAATGGTTTTTTTATGGGATTCCTTTTTTGTTCATTTTTTTTCAACTTCATGACTTTAGACCTTATGTTAGGTCCAGATTCTATATAAATCTGGAGGAAACATCCAGATGTTGGTTCTGTTGTAGGTTTTTTGGGTTATTGGTTGTTTCGTTATTACAGACTCCAAAGTCTAATTCAAGCTGGGAACTTACAAACTTTTGATGCTTTAAGTAGTTTTATCCAGAGCAAAGTCTGATTAGTTCCTCAATCCTTCCCCCTTCACCAGCAAGGTCTGAGCTTTGCATGTTCCTGACCTTTATTTGGATCTGAGAAGCAATAGACTGCTGCTAGACTGAGGCACCATCATCCAGTTGGAAAACTCTCCTGGTTCAGTGACAGAAATGTAGGTTTCCCTTTGGTCCGAGAGTCCTCCCATTATTATCCCTCCATGGCCCTTAGATTGGCCTAAAAACTAGAGCTGAGACCAAACTCTTTTCCTGGGGTCTGAGGCACATTGTTGTTGCTTGTTTTTGAACTTCCCCCTTGCTTGGTAAAGCCTGTGACTCATTCTCACATCTGGGCCCTTCCATAATTCACATGGCATCTGTCACCCAAAAAGATGTAGAAAGTGACAACCTTCCTCTTGGCACCCCTTCCACTATCCTACATGAATCCCCAGTGTCCTAGTATTTTTTTAAGAACCTTTTATTTCCCTTGGGCAAAGTCTTTAGTTGCTGTAATATTCCAAAGGGCTAATTTCTGGCCAGTATCTACAGACCTTTACATATGTCTCCCCACACCAGCCTGGTCTGGACCAATGAATCATTGTTTTTCCTCCTTCTTGGATTTCCAAATCGTTAGCCAGTCTGGTTCATTTTCTATACTAATTTTGGGGTGGAGGGGCTCTCTGTGCTTCTTGCTTCTCTTCCGTATTAACTCTGTCTCTATTATTGCTATCTTAATTTTCATATCAAGACTTCATGTGGATTTTAATCTTTGTTGATCCCACTGCAGCATCTGACATTGTTGACTACCTTTTCTTTCCAGATGCTCTCTATTCTCTGTGTTTTTTTGATTCTGCTCTGTTTTGGTCCTCCTCCTATCTGTCTGTGCATTCTTTCCCAACTTCTTTTGCTGAATGTCCATTCATGAAGCACCTACCAATTGTGTCTTAGTCAGTCAAGAATAATTCATTGTTATTTAATTTATTAAGAAAAACATGAAAAAGATACCACATTCAAAATAAGTCTAGACAATATAAAATAACTGGGAGTACATTAGCCAAAACAAACCCAGGAACTTCATAAACAAATTTAAAAAAACTTTTTTATACAAATAAAATAATATTCAAGTAATTGGAGATATAGTAATAGTTTATGGGTAGGCAGGACCAATATAATAAAAATGACAATTTTGTCTAACTTAATTTATATATTCAATGCCATCCCAATTCAATTACTAAAAAATACTTTACTGAATTAGAAAAAGTAATAAGAAAATTCATTTGGAAGTACAAAAACTCAAGAATGACTGAAGAACTAATGAAAAAAAGTATAAAGTAAGTACCAGATTTTAAACTATAATTGAAGATAGTAATTATCAAAACTATCTTTTACTAGCTCCAAAATAGAAAGGTATATCAATGTAACAGAGCTGACATACAACTTACAGCCACAAATAAATATAGTAACCTTGTATTTGAAAAACATAAAGACTCAAGATTTTGAGATAAGAATTCATTATTTGGTAAAAATTGTAGGGACAACTAGACAGCCATATGGCAGAAACTGGGCATGGACCAATATCTCACACCATTTACCAAAATAAGGTCAAAATGGATTCACTGCTTAGCTGTAAAGAGAGATGTTACAAGAAGATTTGAAGAACTTGAAACATATTTATCAGACTTATGGGATAGGTAAACAATTTTTGAATAAACAAGAGATAGAGAGCAGAGTGAGGTGTAAAATGGATAATTTTGATTACATTAAATAAAAACAAAAAGTTTTGTACAAATAAAACTAGTGTAGCCAATATCAGAATGAAAGAAGAAAACTGGGAAAGCATTTTTATAGACAGTTTCTCAGATAAAGGTCTTATATCTCAGATATCTTGATTTCTCAAATCTATAGGAATATAAGTCATTCCCCAATTAGTAACTTGTCAAAGGATATGAACATGCAGCTTTCTGATAAATCAAAACAATTTGTGGTCATATGAAAAATGCTCTAAATATTTTTATTATCTTCCTTAAATTGTCTTTTATAAAAATTATCAATATCCTCAGTTCCTTCAACAAACCTTTGTTTTTGAATCATCTCACTAAAGTAGTCATTGGATACTATTTACTTCCAGTTTATCAATGTGCTTCTCCAAATATCATGCCCAGAACTTTGGACATAATAGATATGGTCTGACCAGGGCCAGAAGCACCAGGACTATTACCTCTTTCATTCTGGGTAATATGTCTTTCTTCCTGCACTCTAAGTGCCCATTTAGTTTCTAAATTATTATTTATTAGAAAATGCAAATTAAAACACCTTTGAGATGTCATTTTATACCTATCAAATTGGCTAAAATGATTGAAGAGAAAAGTGACAAATGTTAGAGGGGATTTGGAAAAAATTGGACACTAATTGATTTTTGGTGGAATTGTGAACTGATTCTACAATTTTGGAGAACAAACTGGAATTGGGCCCAAAGAGATATTAACCTGCTTATATCCTTTGACCCAGCAATAACACTATTAGGTCTATTTCCAAAGATGATTAGAGAGAAAGGAAAAGAACCTCTATGTTCTAAAATATTTATAACAGCTCTCTTTGTGGTGGTAAAGAACTGAAAATTTTGGGTATGCCCATCAATTGAGGAATGACTGAACAAGTTGTGATATATGATCTTGATAGAATACTACCATGTGATAAGAAGTGATTAACTTGATGATCTTGGAAAACACATGAATAGACTTGGACAAAATAATGAAGAGGGAAATGAGCAGAACCAAGAGAACATTGTATACAGTAACAGTAATTTTGTTTCAAGAACAAGTTTGAATGAGTAATTTTTTCTGTTATAAACATCCAATTTAACTACAAAGGACATATGAAGAAAGAGGCTATCTGCATCCAGAGAAAGAATTGATAAATAGAAGCATGTACAGAATGATTTTACACACACACACAAACACACATCTAACTATATATTTGTGTCTAATGGTAGCCATCTCTAGGGTGGGATGGAAGGAAAACAAAGGAAAAATAAATTTACATGATAACTATTATACATTTAAATGGAATAACAAGGAGGTGGAGCCAAGATGGCAGAAGGAAAGCGGTGACTTATTGGAGCTCTCCCCCCAAACCCCTCCAAATACCTATAAAAAATGACTCTAAACAAATTCTAAAGCAGCAGAACCCACAAAAAGACAGAGTGAAACAAATTTCCAGCCAAAGACAGCCTGGATGGTTGATCAGAAAGGTATATCGCGCGGGGCTGGGAGAGGAGCGCAGTGTGGCATGGGCATACAGGCCGCAGCAACCCTGGAGCAGGCCTCAGAGGGCTGAATCGTGGGCAGCTGTGGCGGTTTCCAGACTTCTCGACCCAGGAATGCCAAAGGCAACTTGGAAGGTCAGTGGGAAAAGTCTGTGACTCTGGTGAGAGAGGGAGCTAGGTCTCAGCCTCCCCCGGGAGCCACAGCTGTTCCCTGAGCTTCTGGCCCACAGACTGAGGGGGAATCAAGTGGTTGATCAGAGGGGGATTGCAGGGATCTCTTTGCCAGTGCTAAGGCAGGAATCTCTTGCTTTTCCGGTGCTTGGATCTGGGTCACAGTTCTGAGGGGTGGTCCTGGGGTGAGGAGGAGTGCTGACATGGTGAAGTTTCTTGTAGCGGTGGAGAGAAAACACCTTGCCCCTTATCATAGCACCTTGGAAGAACTGAAAATTCTCAGGTCCCTAGAAGTATCTCTGAAAACAGCTGGACAAACCCCCAAAACTTGGGACAGTACATTCACCGCATTAGAAGCAGACTTTTATCTTAACAGAGAGTTTAAAACTCAAGTAATTGACCAGGATCATGAGTAAGCAGTGCAAAAAGAGTCAGACTATGTTATCTTACTTTGGTTACAAAGAAGATCAAAACATATAACCAGAAGAAGACAATGAAGCCAAAGCTCCTACATCCAAAGCCTCCAAGAAGAAAATGAATCAGTCCCAGGCCTTGGAAGAGCTCAAAAGGGATTTTGAGAAGCAAATAAGAGAAGTAGAGGAAAAACTGAGAGTTTTGCAAGAAAATCATGAAAAACAAGTCAACAGCTTGCTAAAGGAGACCCAAAAAAACACTGAAGAAAATAACACCTTAAAAAATAGCCTAACCCAAATGGCAAAAGAGGTCCAAAAAGCCAATGAGGAGAAGAATGCCCTAAAAAACAAAATTGGCCAAATGGAAAAGGAAGTCCAAAAACTTACTGAAGAAAATACTTCCTTAAAAATTAGAATAGAGAAATTGGAAGCTAGTGACTTTATGAGAAATCAAGACACTGTAAAATGAATTAAAAAAAATGAAAAATTAGAAAACAATGTGAAATATCTCATTGGAAAAACAACTGACCTGGAAAATCGATCCAGGAGACAGAATTTAAAAATTATTGGACTATCTGAAAGCCATGATCCAAAAAAGAGCCTAGACATCATCTTTCAAGAAATTATCCAGGAAAACCGCACTGATATTTTAGAACCAGAGGGCAAAATAGAAATTGAAAGAATCCACCAATCCCCTCCTGAAAGAGATTCCCAAAGGAAAGCTCCTAGGAATATTGTAGCCAAATTCCAGAATTCCCAGGTCAAGGAGAAAATATTATAAGCAGCCAGAAAGAAACAATAACACAATCAGGATAACACAAGATTTAACTGCTTCTACATTAAGGGACCGCAGGGCATTGAATATAATATTCTGGAGGGCAAAGGAGACAGGATTACAACCAAGAATCACCTACCCAGCAAAACTGAGCATAATCCTACAGGGGAAAAAATGGTTATTCAGTGAAATAGAGGACTTTCATGCACTCTTGATGAAAAGACCAGAGCTGAATAGAAAATCTGATTTTCAAATACAAGACTCAAGTGGAACATGAAGAGGTAAACAGGAAAGAGAAAATCATAAGAGACTTATTAAGGTTGAGCTGTTTACATTCCTTCATGGAAAGATGATATTTGTAACTCATGAGACCTTTGTCAGTATTAGGATAGTTGGAGGAAAAAATTACATGTATGTATAGCTAGATAGATAGATAGACAGATAGAGGGCACAGGGTGAGTTGAAGATGAAGGAGTCATATCTGGAGAATAAAATTAAGGGGTGAGAAAGGATTATACTAGGAGAAGGAGAAAGGGAGAGGTAGAATGGGATAAATTATCTCACAAAAAAAAGAGAAAAAAAAGCTTTTACAATGGAGGGGAAACAGGGGAAGGTGAGAGGGAATGAGTGAATCTTATTCTCACAGGATATGACTTAAGGAGGGAATAACATACACACTCAATTGGGTATGGAAATCTGTCTTACCCTACAGGAAAATGGGGGGGGAAGGGGACAAGAGAGTAGGGGGATGATAGAGATGAGGATAGATTGGGAAAGGGGATAATGAGAAACAAGTACTTCTGAGGAGGGTTAGAGTCAAAACAAAGAATAGAATAAATGAGGGAGTGGGATAGGATTAAGGGAAATAGAGTTAGTTTTTCGCAGCATGTCTACTATGGAAGTGTTTTGCGTAACTGCACATATATAATCTATATTTAGTTGCTTGCCTTATCAATGAGGGTGGGCGGGGCAGAAGGAAGGGAGAAAATTTGAAACCCAAAGTTTTAAAAACACATGTTTAAAAAAAATGTTTTCACATGCAACTGGGAAATAAGAAATACAGGAAATGGGGTACAGAAATCCATCCTGCCCTACAGGAAAATTAAAGGGGAAGGGGATAAAAGAAGGGGGGGGGAGAGATAGAAGGGAAGGCAGACTAGGGGAAGGGGTATTCAGAATGCATGCCATCTTGGGGTGGAGGGAGGGGTGAGATAGGGTGAAAATTTGAAACTCAAAATCTTGTGGAAGTAAATGTTGAAAACAAAAAATAAATTTAAAAAATGCAAAAAAATTTTAAAAAAATAAATGAAATAGCAAGTTGCATATAATAGATTTGCATTTTCATGTGCAAGCATATTTTTTATTACACCATGTTATGGAAATGCTTGTGTTACTCCATAAATTAAAAATAAAATAAATAAAAATTACAAAAACAAAGAAAAATATGAAGATAAGAGTGGCAATGATAGTATAGCTAATCTGAAAAAGACAGAAGAATATGGGGTTAAAGATATAGCTGTTAGTACCTTCTCCTGTGTGGCCAACCTCTTCTTCTGTGTGTACACACATACACACACACACATTCATACATACACATATATGTATATATGTAGTTAAGTATATATATATATATGTTTATGTATGTATCCGATCTCTATTTGAATATAAGCTTCTTGAGGCCAGAGAATTTTTTGCATTTTTCTCATATCTCCAGTGGCTAGAATAGCTCCTGGCACACAGTATGCACCAAGTAAATGATAGCTTATTAATCGGACATAAAGAGTATTCACACCGTGGGGAGGAAAATGTATTCCTCATTAAATGAGGGGAACCTAACCATCTCTAACACTTTAGGAAAAAGAAGTGATAATACCAATTAGCACTGCTATGCATTTTGTCCCATGAATGTCCAAGCTGTCATTCATTCATTCATTCAACCACTCATTCATTTATAAAATGCTTTTGAACTTCTAGGTACTTGGTGAGAAGAATCAACATTTTTCTGAAAAAATTTCACCCAGTAGATTCAACTGATCATTTTCAACTCTGGCCCATATGCCCTGCTGGCTTGAATGTAGATCACAGTAGACAAACCTGGGCAGACCACATTAAAGTGTAATAGAGAAATATGTAATAAAATAAAAAGTACAATAGAACAGAAGTAATATTAGTATGTGTTTTTCTGTTTTCAATACATGGCTCACAGGTATCCTATAGAACGGTTTAGTGATCCCGGTTTCTACTGAGTTCTACACCATGGGTTTAGAGGCTCACTTCATGTCTTTACTTGGAATGGAAAAGATGCAGTGCCTGTTCTGAGTCTTTTTCTTTTTTGCTTTCTCTCCTCAGAATTTTTGGGGCTTACAGCATGGATGTGATCACCAGCACTTCATTTAGTATCAATGTTGATTCCTTGAATAATCAGAATGATCCCTTTGTCAGAGAAATCAGGAAGTTACTTAAATTCAATTTTCTGGACCCACTCCTACTTACAATAAGTAAGTTGGTTCTTCTTTACAGATATAAATAATTAAAAATTCAATGATCCTGACATACCTAAAGATACTCAATAACTCAAAAAGTTGGATCATAGATTTAGAGATGGACAGAAACTTAAGAGCCATCAAGTTTAACCCCTTTATTTAACAGAGGATTAAACTGATGCTTACAGAGATTACAACACAATCTCAGGAATTTTGGAGATTCAATTCTTTAATTACTACTGTTTGGGAGGGAGGGCTTTCAGAGAGCAACTGACCTAAATCCTCAGAGGAATTATTTGTTGATTGAGTCAGTCATAGGTAGCTTAGCAGTTAACCTAGAAGACTAGGGATGGGCATAGGATATTTGATTTTGGAGAGAGATTCCCTTCCATTGTTTGACTTTTCATTGACCCCCACCAGTTCACAGACAATCAGTGAGCTCAAAAATGAAATGAGTAAGCCATGTTACAATTTGTACATATGGTGCCATCTCCCCATCTACACTCCACGTAAAGGTGGTAGCATCACCTATAATTTCATGAGGATTTGTTTTTATTTTCCTCAGCACTTTTTCCATTCCTTGTTCCTTTGTTAAAAACATTGGATATAACTGTATTTCCAAAAGAAGCAACAGATTTCTTAGCAAAATCAATTAAAAAAATAAAGGAAGAACGAAAGAAATGTTCACAGAAGGTAAGTAGATCTCTCCAATATTCAGAATAAGAATATATGTACATTATAAATAGTGGTATTCTTTATCCTCAGGGTAGAGCAAACAAAACTTGTATTCCCCTCTATCTGATATTTATCTTTGTTCATTAAAATTTTTATTCAATTCCAATTGTCAGATATTTTTGAGGACTTACTGTAACCTGAAAAAGTGTCACTTTGTGACTTGTAGGCTCATTTCCAGCTCTAACTCTATGCTCCCATTATTTAATATTTGCCAGACTTAGTGATCTGTGTCTGTGGAAGTACAAAGAGAAAAGCTGTCCCAGCTCTCAATTAATTTACAATGACATATGTGGGATAAGACACATACTCAATATCATATTGCAAATTAGTATATGATGTGTAGCAAGAACCCTAGGAAGAAGAAAGTACCTTTCTTCTTTATTTACACACTCTCAAAAGGGCCTTGCTAACAATACCAAAAGCTATATAAGAATAAGAACAAAAATTATAATTATACCAGTAATTTTGTACTCAAATTCTTCATGTGGGCTCTTGGCCCACATTGGGAGCATTTTTCATTTTCTTGCAAAGCTTCTACTCCGAGACCTTTTTCTGGAACAGCTATGACTCTTAATTCTTGAAGGCCAGCTCAGAAAACTGCAACCAATTGTTGATCCTTGCAAGCTATGAAGTCTTCAAGCTTAAGCATGTTGATTTATTATATGTTTGCTGACCTAAGACTAATCTAGGTCCTAGGTATGTCTATTGGTTGACCACAGTGAGATCCATTTCTTTGCCTATAGTGATCCTGGAAAACCAGCCATGAGGTTATTGTATGATTGCAATCTGTGGTGTCCACATCAATTATATTTTAAACCATTGAGGTCCTTTCTGTCAGACTTAAGAGAATTCATTTCCTAGAATATTTAATATTTTCTTTTAGGTTCTGCAGAATATGCTTCCCTTCCAAAACCTTGGGCTGGTGATTGGGACATCATCTTTTAAAATTTGGGAATCTGATTTTAAGTTCTTATATCATTCACTTGAGGGTAAAGGTCTTTGGCCCTCCAGGTCCTTTGTGGAAGTGCCTTGAGTAGAATTCCAATTCTGCCACTTAGTTGAAGCCACAATGTCTCTAATCATTCATATCTTTACTTGTCTATCCTACATCAGGAATATTAATTTGCTGTGTTCATAGCTAATTTCTATATTCTCAAGTGTTTTCTCAACATTAGTGTTTTCCATCACTCTTCCAGCATCGCTTAGATTTTCTTCAGCTTATGATGGATTCTCAGACTTCTAACAATTCAGAGACACACTCTCACAAAGGTAAGTCGGGCATGAGGGTAGCCACAAATTGGAATCTTGAGGGCATTATCTGTGGAAGTATGAAAACATTTCCAATTTGCTTAGATGATATGCCAAATGTCAATAACAATGACAATGGCAATGATGTTACAGGGTTTTAGGATTTGCAGAGCACTTTACATATATTACTTCATTTGATCTTCATAATAATTCTGTGTGCTTGATGTCATTCTTATTTCTATTTTAGAGATGAGGAATCTAAAGCTGAGAGAGTTTAAGCAACTTCCACAGTATCAGAGCTAGTAAAACTTTGAAGTAGAATTTGAACTCAGAGCTGACTTCCCTCTAAGTCCAACACTCTGTGGTATCACCTAGCCACATCAGAAAGATGTTTGACATCGGCAGGATGAGCTAGATGGAGTCAATTTTCAAAAGTATATTTGAATTTGTGATGGTCAAGTTAGTCTGAAGCATGGATGGTGACATTAAAGTCCCTATTTCATCTATGCCTAGGAAGATAATGAAGCATAAGGAGGTGGGAAAAACACTTTTTTTTTCAAGAAAGAAAATAATTTATCTTATTCTAACTATGCTTTTAAATACTTGAGTGATCCTGCATGCATCACCTCATTTGTCTGGACTTGCATGTCATAGGTAAAAGAAGGGTATTGGTCCAGATGATCAGTCAATTATCTTCTAGCTCTAAATCCTATAATTTTACTCTATTCCCTGGCCTACAGCATGTTTATTTGTGCTTTAGCTAGCTGAACAGCTATTTGGCACATAGGATAAAGGGCCAGGCCTGGAGTCAGGAAGATTCACCTTCCTGAGTTCAAATCTGACCTCAGACACTAACTAGTTGTATGACCCTGGGCCAGTCATTTAACCTTCTTTGCATCAGTTTCCTCATCTGTCAAATGAAGTAGAGGAGGAAATGGAAAAATCACTGATATCTTTGTCAAGAAAAACCCAATTAGAGTTCACAAGGAGTCAGCCATGACAGAAACAACTGAATAGCAGCCATACAGGAAAGAAAAAAGAGACTGATCTGAAGATACAGTATAAAATAGTGCTTATAAAATGAACACTATTCTCATTTAACCATAAGTAGGATATAGACTCTCCTATGTGGAGAATTCTTATTAGAATTCAGCTGGATGGAGGCAACATTATTAAGTGAAGGGGGAACTGGAGTTGGGAGTCAGAAGGCCAGATTCTAATCTCAGCTTCAGCCACTTGCTAGATCAGTGACTTTGGAACAGTTATCTTATCGTTCTGAACCTCAATTGCCTTATCTGAAGAATGGAGAGGAGCATTCTTACACTAGCAATTTCACAGGTTTGTTATGGTGGTCAAATGAGGTAATTTATAAAAATAATCTATAAAAACTAGGCATTTTGTATAGAAATGGAACCAATGTTTATTGTTACCTTCTGCATACCTTCCCTTCATGGAGTTCATCAGAGATAGGATATAGTGGGGTACAGTGGAAAGAGCGTGGTCTCTGAAGTCTGAGAACCTAGGTTTAAATCTGAACTCTCTCACCTTTGAGACTTTGGGAAAGTCACTTAACTTCTTCAGGTCTCACGTTACCGATTACATGGCTATTGGGGTGCCTTCCAGCCCTAAATCTGTGATTTCCTTCAAACATCTCTCCTCCATATTTGCTTCACTCCCTACTCAACCACCCTACCACAGGCACTTATCTCCTCTCCTCTGGACTATTACTAGAGCCTTTTAGTGTATCTGTCCTATGACACTGCGCTAGAAAGAAGAGAGAATTCCCTGAAATGAAATCTCACTTTTATCACATCCAGAAATAACAAATGAGGATGAAGTAGGTGTGTGGAAAGAATGGAACAAATATCGGAGAAATTTGGTTGAGCAATCCCAGTTAGACTTAATCTTTTTCCTGCCTTGTAATGATAGATTTTGGTGGAAAATTCTTGTCATGCATTTCAGATCTTTTCTAGGTATTCTGGACAGTCAGGTAGATGCCTTTCCTAACTTCTTGTGATATGACTGAATGATGTAACAGTGGTATGATGACTTTATCTGAATTTTCCCTTGACTCTATTTCAGATCTGAGTGATGAGGAACTCCTGGCCCAATCTATTATCTTTCTTTTTGCTGGCTATGAAACCACCAGTTCAGTTCTTTCTTTTCTTTTTTACAACCTGGCCACCAACCCTGAGATCCAGCAGAAACTTCAGAAGGAGATAGATGCAGTTTTGCCCAACAAGGTGAGAGAATGAGAGGAATAGAGCTGCTACTGAGGTTCAACAGTTTTGTCACAGGCTCAAAGAGGCTCATTTTATGAAAATATTTATACAGATACAAATCTCATTTTGACAGAGCTCAGAAGTTTTGAATCACTTCATTAGCATATTGACCACTGCAGTGACTCCCAACATTCCACAAGTTCAATAGTAAATATATTTTTATAGCTTTCCTCCAGAAGGTATTACTGTAACATCTGGTGACCAGATGTACAATGGAGTTGGCATAGACTCATTCTAAGACCAAGTAGAGGTAGTTGTGATAGCCTACTAAGTACTCAGAACTTAGTACTTACAACTGTTTGTTGTCTTTGCAGGAAGCGGTCACATATGATGCCGTGGTACAGATGGAGTATCTAGACATGGTGATAAATGAAAATCTCCGCCTATTTCCCATAGCTGGCAGGATTGAAAGGGTTGCTAAGAAAACTGTTGAGCTCAATGGACTAAGGATTCCTAAAGGCACAGTGGTGATGGCCTCACCCTTTGTCCTCCATCATGACCCAAAATATTGGCCAGAGCCAGAGGAGTTCCGTCCGGAAAGGTAAACACATTCTTTTAAACAAGGGGAAAGATTACTCATTGTGTTCATTTGAGACAGTTTAGAGAGAACATTGAATTGGGAGACAGGATCACTTATTTGTAGAAGTTTTTAAGCCCTTAGTAGAATAGTAAAATTCTTTTTAAGACATAACAGATAGAGGATATGGTGCTACATTCAGAGTCAGGAAGACTTGAATTCAAAGCCCACCACTGATACCACTTGTATGGCTAAGGGCACTAATGATCTCATTCTACACAGTGACTCTTCCAAACATTTTATTCCCTCCTCAAACCTCCCATTGCTCCTCCTCTTTCCACACTCTCAGCTGAGATCATTCCCTGATATTTTACCAGAAAAAAAAAATGAGGCTATTCATTGTGAACTCCTTCTTTTCCCCACTTCCTCATCTCCCAACACTCAGATGCCTTTTACTACTAGCCCCTCCTTTACGTCTGCATCACATAATGAAATAACCTTATTCCTTACTAAGGCTAATTCCTTTTCTTGTCCAAGTGAGTCCATCTCTTCTAAGAGATTGCCCCATCTGTCATCAACACTCTTATTTCCAATCTATCCCTGTCTACTGATTAATTTCCTACTTCTCACAAAAATGCCCATGAGTTTTCTTTCCTGAAAAACCCCCCACTTGATCCTTCTCTCCCTGTTATTGTCCTATATCTTTTCTGTCCTTTATAGCTAACCTCTTCAAAAAATTTACAATACAACAAAAAGGCTCACACCTGACCTGCAGTCAGGAGGGCCTCAGTTCAAATCAGGCCTCAGGCACTGACACTTACAAGCTGTGTGACCCTTGGCAATTCACTTAACCCCATTGCCTTCCAAAGAAATCCAAACAAACAAACAAAATGTTGGAGGCAGCTAGGTGGTGCAGTGGATAGAGCACCAACCCTGGAGTCAGGAGGACCTGACTTCAAATCTAGCCTCAGACACATGATACTCACTAGCTGTGTGACTCTGGGCAAGTCACTTAACCCCGATTGTGTGGCAAAAGAAAAATAAATAAAAAAATGAAAAAGGTTCATACTACAATAGGTGCCACCACTTTCTCTCCATTTACCCTTTTCTTCTTCACCTTTGGATTTTAAAGAATTAAATAAAGTCTTTTGTTGTTTTGTTGTTCAGTCATGTCTGACTCTTCATCACCTCATTAGGGGTTTGTTGGCAGAGATGCTGGAGTGATTTGCCATTTACTCCCCCAACTCATTTTACAGATGAGGAAACAGAGGCAAACATGGTTAAATGACTTGCCCAAGGTCACACAACTTATAAATTTCTGAGATCAGATTTGAATTAAGGTCTTTCTGACTCCAGTACTGGCTCTCTATCTATTCTGTCACCCAACAGCCCAAAAAATCTTCAGTCTAAGTGAAATACTATTGCAATAAGAGATCAATAGTCTCATTCCTTTTATTTCTTAGGAAGTTAAGGTTTAGCATCTCTACAATGTAAATAAAATTGATACTAGAACAGGTTTTTGAGAGTCTATTGAAATCTCTGCCTTTCAAGCCTAGTATCAGATTTTTAAAAATGGCAAATAACCAATAGGGCATAATGATAGGAAGGAATTGTTCTGAAGATATACAAGTAGTGCTTTAGATATTGAGACTGTCTTAAGGCAGATCTCTTGATATTTACTTTTTTGTCTCCTTTTTATTTTTTATGTTGATTTTTTTTATTTAGTACTTTATTTTTCCCCAGTTACATGTAACAACAATTTTTAACATTCATTTTAAAAATTTGAGTTCCAAACTCTCTCCCTTCCTCCCTTCCCACCCTTGCATTGAGAAGGCAAGCAATTAGATATAGATTATACATGTATAGTCATACAAAACACATCCATAATAGTCATGTTCTGAAAGAAAACATAGACAAAAAAAACCTTGAGAAAAATAAAGTAAAATTTTTAAAACATATGATTCAATCTGTATTCAGACACTATCGTTTCTTGTTCTGTGAGAGATAGCATTTTTCATCATAAATTCTTCAGAGTTGTCTTGGATCACTGTATTGCTGAGAATACCGAAGTCATTTACAACTGATCACCTTACAATATTGCTGTTACTTTGTACACAGTGCATTTCACTCTGTATCAGTCCATGCAAGTCTTTCCAGGTTTTTCTGAGAGCATTCTGCTCATCATTTCTTATAGTACAATAATATTCCATTATAATCACATGCTACAATGCCCAGCTGATGGGCATTCCCTCAATTTCTAATTCTTTATTCCCAGAAAAGGGTTGTTATACATATAGATCCTTTTTTTGGTTTTGTTTTTTATCTCTTTTGGAATACATACCTAGTAGTGGTATTGCTAATTCAAATGGTATTCATGGTTTTATAGCCCTTTGGGCATAGTTTCAAATTGCACTACAGAATAGTTGAATCAGTTTACAACTCTACCAACAGTGTATTAAAGTCTCATTTTTCCAGTCTCCCCTCCAACATTTGTCATTTACCTTTTCTGTCCTATTAAGACAGTCTAATAGACATGAGGTAGTACCTCAGAATTGTTTTAATTTGCATTTATCCAATCAACAGTGAGTTAGATCATTTTACATATGGCTATAGATAGCTTTGATTACTTCATCTGAAAACTGATCATATCTGTTGATCATTTAGTAATTGGGGAATGGCTCTTATTTTTATAAATTTGACTCAGTTCTCTCTATGTTTGAAAAATGAGGTCTTTATCAAAGAAACTTGCATCAATTGTTTTTCACAGATATTATTACTAACTGTATTTCCCTCCATCCTATTCCCCTACCCCAGTTTATTCTATTCTCTCTCTCCTTTCACTCTGTCCCTCCTCAACAGTGGTTTGCTTCTGATCACATCCTACCCCATTCTACCCTCCCTTCTATCACACCCTCTTTTCTTATACCCACCCCCCCCCCCACTTTGCTGTAGGGTAAGATATATTTCAATACCTAATTGTGTGCATATGTAATTCATTCTTTGAGCCAATTCTGATGAGAATAAGGTTCACTCACTCCCCCTCAGCTCCCCCCTCTTCCCCTCCACTGCTGTAAAAGCTTTTTCTTGCCTCTTTTATGTGAGATAATTTACCCCATTCTACTTCTCCCTTTCTCCTTCTCCCAGTACATTCCTCTCTCACCCCTTAATTTTATTTTTTAGATATCATCCTTTCATATTCAACTTACAGCTGTGCCCTCTGTCTATATATGCTCCTAAATACCCTAATAATAAGAAAAGTCTTATGAGTTAAAAATATTCTTATGTAGGAATGTAAAGAGTTTAACCTCATTAAGTCCCTTATGATTTCCCTTTCCTATTTATCTTTTTATGCTTCTCTTGAGTCTTGTATTTGAAAGTCAAACTTTCTATTCAGTTCTGGTCTTTTCATCAAAAATTCTTAAAAGTCCTCTATCTCATTAAATATTCAATTTTTCCCCTAAGGGATTGTACTCAGTTTTGCTAGGTAGGTGATTCTTGGTCATAATCCTAGCTCCTTTGCCCTCTGGAATATCGTATTCCAAGCTCTCTGATCTTTTAATGTAGAAGCTGCTAAATCTTGTGTTATCCTGACTTTGGTTCCACAGTACTTGAATTGTTTCTTTCTGACTGCTTGCAATATTTTCTCCTTTACCTGAGAATTCTGGAATTTGGCTATAATATTCCTGAGAGTTTTCATTTTGGTATCACTTTCAGGAGGTGATCAGAGGATTCTTTCAATTTCTATTTCACCCTCTTGTTCTAGAATATCAGGGCAGTTTTCCTTGATAATTTCTTGAAAGATGATGTCTAGGCTCTTTTAATTTTTTTTTTAAATTTATTTATTTAGTTTTAGTTTTCAACATTCTCTTCCATAAGCTTTAGAGTCTTAAATTTTCTCTGCCTCCCTTCCCTCTCCCCACTTAAAGACAACACACTATCTGATATAGATAGATTCTTTTTTTGATCAAGGCTGTCAGGTAGTCCAATAATTTTTTAATTATCTCTCCTGGATCTATTTTCCATGTCAGTTGTTTTTCCAATGACATATTTCACATTGTCTTCAATTTTTTTATTCTTTGGCTTTGTTTTATTGCTTCTTGTTTTCTCATAAAGTCATTAGCTTCCATTTATTCCATTCTAATTTTTAAGGAATTATGTTCTTCAGTGAGCTTTTGAACCTCCTTTTCCATTTGGCCAATTCTGCTTTTTAAAACATTCTTCTCCTCATTGGCTCTTTGGAACTCTTTTGCCATTTGGTCCAATCTTTTTTTTAAGGTGTTATTTTCTCCACTGTTTTTGAGTCTCCTTCACCAAGCTGTTGACTCTTTTCTCATGATTTTCTTGCATTGTTTTCATTTCTCTTCCCAATTTGTCCTCTACCTCTTTTACTTGATTTTCAAAATCTTTTTTGAGCTCTTCCATGGACTGAGACCAATTAATATTTTTCCTGGAGACTTTGGATGTAGGAGCTTTGACTTTGTTATCTTCTTCTCAGTGTGTGTTATGATCTTCCTTGTCACCATAATAACTTTCTATAGTCAGAGTTTTTTTCCCCATTGTTTGCTCGTTTTCCCAGCTTGACTTTTAACTCTTTGTTAAAGTAGGCCTCTGCTTCCAGGGTGGAGGGTACACTGACCTAAACTTTAGGGGTTTTGTGCAGCTGTTTTCAGAGAGACTTCAGGGATCTGTATGTTCATTTCTTTCAAGGTAGTATGATCTATGGAGAGGTGTTTACTCCTCTCCTGGCCTCTGCTCTGATCTGTGAGTGACCACAAACACTCTTTTCTGCCCTGGAATTGTAAGGAAGGTCCCCTCTCCACTGCTGCCACAAACTTTGCTATGCTAGTGCTCTTCCTTGCCCCAGGACTGCCACCCAGTACTGCAATCCTGATTCAACTATGGACAAAGCAACAGAGTCCTGCCTCACTGCTTACAACAAGACCTACATAATCTCTTTCTGACCAGCTCTATCCCTTAACTGTCTGTGGGGGAGAGCTCTAGAAGCAGCTATTGCTGTTGCCACT